AGATGATCCTCATTGTAGAGAGCTCGCTTTCTACTTTTCGAGGATCTTTCTTCTCTCTGTCGAACACTATTCAACTGGCCACGCGGGGCTAAGTCCTTAATCGGGCAAATCGAGTCAGTTGTCCGGCTCTGAACGCGTCGAGATAACGCGGTTATCGCGGGCGATTTTTCCACGAACAAACTCGGTCGTTACGTAACGTTTTCGGGAGTGACGTATTAAATATTGCGCGATTATAGTTATCCGCGTATACGTGTGATGCTGTGTCGAGCATCGAGGGAGCTGACAACCCGAGAGGACAGCCTGAGAGGAGGAGGAGGCCTAGGAAAGGCATCGGGCATCAGCGGAACAACTTTGCGGTAAATATTAATTTTTATTTTGTATAAGAGTAATTTTTTTTGTTTATTCTCTCTTGAGCTTTTTTATTTCACCATAATTTAGAAATAATAGTTAGAAGAAAAGGAATAATTTAATATTTTATAAGAATTGATTCATGTATAAAGATTATTTTTAGAAAATGTAGAATAATTTATAAACAAATATCTAGTTAAATAATGAATCAAATGTTCAATGCGCATAAAAGTTATGTTTTAAAACATTAAATTTTTTGAACACTGTTTTAATACAAATTTTATATTTGTTTATTACAGAATCAACGTAGCTACGTGGCAGATATAATTCCGCTGTTGCGCATCGAGGTCGGTGAGTGATAAATTAACATATCTATTGAGGCATATATATATGTATGTATGTACATATAAAATAGAGGATTTTTTCTAGTATTTATAATATTACGCAATAGATATGTGTAATCAAAGGGGGTAAGACGGAGACCCCAATACAAAGCAATATGAAACATGATTTGTATCCTTGTTGGTGTAACTCTACTTCTTGCGTGAAGAAATTGAACGCATGACGAAGGAGAGAACAACAGTTCTCTGTTCTCACCACAGTCTTCTTTCTACTCGGTGGCACTCTACCTTATTCCTTCGCCACCTCTCGTCGTCCCCTTGTTTCTTCCTATACCGCTTGTTCTCCCTCCGATTCTCGAGTATAATGCGACCCCGCCATTGTGCCGAGCGACCGCGTGTTAACGTTTAAAAGCCGCGCGGCAGCCAGCGAACGCGTTTCAGAATTTTATCGTGGATTGAGAATAAAGGTAAAAGGTTTCTTTCAAAAGGCACGCCGCTGGAACGATTTAAAACTTGTAAATGGATACGAGGAGTTAGACCTCCGCGCTCTTTCCATCTTCCTTCGGCCATACCCTTTCCACCTTCGCCCCTGTCTGCACATAAAACTTGCGCGAACTTTTGTTTGTTTCCCGCGATGTATTTACGACGCGGAATCTCGGTGATCGATACCGAAAGAGCTAGCAGGCAACATAGTGACTATTTTATTTTTAATGTCGTTGAACTTTGATGACTCGTTTTACGAGGAGTGCCGGCGATAACGATAACGGTTACTTCACTTGCATGGGTCGCTTCATGTTGAAATTTAATATACCGCTATAGTGTTAGTGTTAGTGTTGCGATTAATTCTTTCGGACAGCAATTTCATTCTTCACACTAATAAGCTAAATAATTAATATTACCGCTAACTTTCGTTTTTTAAATCGTTGAGCTAAGAT